CTTCTGGATTTCTGGTGGTTAATTGAGATAAGATTCTCATGGACTTTCCTGCTGTTGCTGGCTTCTAATCACAATCCTCAGATCTCAGCCTCCTGTGTCGCTAGTACAGGCTTGAGCCACCTGTGCTTTGCTTTACTTGGGATTTTGTTGTTGTTGTTGGTTGTGGGGCCTGAACTCTGGGCCTGGGCGCTGTCCCTCAGCTCTTCAGCTCAAGGCTAGCGCTTGAGCCACAGCGCCACTTCTGGTGTTTTTTGCTTATGTTGTTCTGAGGAATTGAACCCAGGGCCTCATGCATGCAAGGCAAGCACTCTACCACTGAGCCACCTTCCCAGCCCCTATTTGGGATTTTTTTTTTTTTTGTAGGCACTTGTTGTGATGTGTTCCTCTTAGAACTGCATTTTTCTTTAACCTATCGGTTTTGGTTTATTGTACCCATTGTCATTTGTCTCAACATATTTTACATTTTTCTTTCTGTTTTCTCTTTTGACACGTGGGTAGTTGAGGAGCATATGTTCTCTGTATTTATGAAGTTTTCAAATGTTCTCCTTTTGTTGACTTGTTGTCTTAAAAAGAAATGCTTTGTGGTAAAAATACTTGGTATAATTTTAAATTTCCTTAAAAATTAGTGAAGACTTGCTTTTGGTCTACCATCTGGTCTGCCTTAGATATTATGTCAAATGCTCTAGAAAAAAAATACATTTTTGCTGCTGCCAGATGGAAAGTTCTGTATATAGCGTGAGCCCTATTTTATGGAGGATGCATTTCAATCCCATTTTTCCATCTAGTTAATCACATGTGCAAAGTGCAGTATTGAAACCTCTACTATGATTCTTTGCTGTCTTTGTGTCTGGAAATGTTTCCTTTGTACATGTAGAAATATCAAGCCTGGTGCTAGTGGTTCATACCTGTAATCCTAGCTACTGAGGAGGCTGAGATCTGAGGATTGTGGTTCGAAGCCAGTCTGGCAGGAAAGTGCATGTGACCCTTATCTCCAATTAACCACCAGAAAAACGGAGGTGTCACTGTGGCTCTAAGTGGTAGAGTGCTAACCTTGAGTGAAAAAGCTCAAGGACAGCACCCAGGCCCTGAGTTCAAGCCCCACAATGGACCAAAAAAAAAAAAGTTGCTTGGGGGCTGGGAAGGTGGCTCAGTGGTAGAGCGTTTGCCTTGCATGCCTGAGGCCCTGGGTTCAATTCCTCAGCACCACATAAGCAGAAAAAAAAAGCCGGAAGTGGCCCAGTGGCTCAAGTGGTAGAGCACTAGCCTTGAGCTGAAGAGCTGAGGGACAGCGCCCAGGCCCAGAGTTCAGGCCCCACGACCAGACCCTCCCCCCCAAAAATGTTGCTTGGATATATAATTAGCTTGGGTTATATTGGGGAGGATTTCATTATTTCACTTCCACACACATTTACACTGTATTCCAGTCTATTTTGCATTGCTGTATTGAACTCCCTGTCCGTCCGTCCGTCCATCCGTCCTTCCTTCCTTCCTTCCTTCTTTCCTTCCTTCCTTCCCTCCCTCCCTCCCTCCCTCCCTCCCTTCTTCCCCTTCTCCTTCCCCTTCTTCTCACCCCCCCAAAAAAAATCCCTCAACAGGTTTCCTTATTGCATGTGTATTTAAAATAAAACCAACCAGGCAAACTGGTGGCTCACACTTGTAATCCCAGCTAGTCAGGAGGCTGAGATCTTAAAGATCATGGTTCAAAGCCAGCCCAGGCAGGAAAATCTGCAAGATTCTTATCTCCAGTTAACTATGAAAAAAGACCCAAATGGAGCTGTGGCTCAAGTGGTAGAGCACTAGCCTTGAGCACAAAAACAGTGACAGTGCTAAGGCCCTGAATTCAAACCCCAGGCCCGGCAAAAAAAAAATTAAAATTAAAAAAATTATAGGCCCCTCTGTACAGTATTTTCACAATTAAAAAAAAATTATAGGGCTGGGAAGGTGGCTCAGTGGTAGAGCACTTGCCTTGCATGCATGAGGCCCTGGGTTTGATTCCTCAGCACCACATAAGCGAAAAGAAAAAAGCCAGAAGTGGCGCTGTTGCTCAAGTGGTAGAGCGCTAGCCTTGAGCTGAAGAGCTGAGGGACAGCGCCCAGGCCCAGAGTTCAGGCTCCACGATTGGACCCCCCCAAAAAATTATACACATACATATATTCTCTTCATGTGAGCCCTTTATCAAAAAATAATGACCTTTTTGTGTCCTGTCCCTTGTGTATTTCTGTGATTTGGTGACTTGGCATAGTGCCTAAGTCTTGGCTTTGTCGAGTCAGTTGCCTGTAGCTGTGTGTGTGTATATTTTCTGGGACCTCTTGTTCTGTTTGTCTGTCATCTGTCTTTCTTCCTGTCTTCATGTTGATACCATATTTTGATTACTATGGCTTTGTACTGTCTTTTTTTTTTGCTAGTCCTGGGGTTGAACTCAGCCTGGGCACTGTCCCTGAGCTGCTTTTGTTCAAGGTGAGGACTCTACCACTTGAGCCACAGCGCCACTTTGGGTTTTTGAGTAGTTTACTGGAGATGAGAGTCTCAGAGAGTTTCCTGCCTGGGCTGGCTTCGAATGTGATCCTCAGCTCTCAGCCTCCTGAGAAGCTAGGATTACAGGCGTGAGCCTCCACACCTAACTCTCTGTATAGTCTCTAGGGATCACTAAAGATTGACAAACAACCACAAGGCTGGTTTTGCTAGTTTGGAATCCATTTTAATGGAGATGAAATGTTTACCAACTCAACACAGGTAGCCCCAAAATACAAATCAAAGTATCACCTTCAGCTGCATAGCAAGTACGATTGAAGACTTGAACATCATTTTTTTGATCACAAGTGTCAATATAAGTCACCATAAATAAATGTAAATTCATTGTACAAAAATTACCCCAACAACTCTTCATACAAATATGGTACACATTTGACAGTTTCTGAAACAGATTTTTTAAATTATTTTTAAAATCTTGTTAGTCCCTTGGTTCATAGACAGATTAAGAAAAAATCAAAAGGAGGACTGAAAAACACAGGATAAAGAACACGAACTTGTCCAGTGTTCAAGAAAGAAACGTAACCAGAGAGCTGAGGAGATCAAATTTCAGTGTGGAAAAGGGCAGATCGCTGTCCTGGGATCAGATCCCCTGAGCATTCTGGGAAGATCCACTTTGGGGTTTAAGAATCGACACAGGGTTGGAAGGGTGAATTGCTGAAATCTCAAATCTCAATACACGACTGTCTGTATTTCTACAAGGCAATGATCAAAGAGTTGGGAATGAACTGTAGAACCAAAAAGGCTGGGTTTATCTTTATTTAAAAGAGAGAGCCAGCTACTGTCCCTGGAAAAGACTGAAGATTTGGAAGATTCTGGAAGCTCACTTAGGTTTGGGGTGGGGTTTGGAGAGGTGTGTTTTCCTCGTGATATCCACCCCTCTGGGTTATAGCTAAGGTCATCAAGATGAAATTAGAAGAAATCTGATTAGATGGCTTCAGGCTGGAGCTGCCTTCCTGTGACAGATTATTGTGTTTCCCTGTGCGTCAGTATTGGGGCTTGAACTTGGGGCCCTGTCCTTTAGCTTTGTCCCTCAAGGCTGGTGCTCTTCCACTGTGAGCCACAGCTTGACTTGGTGTGGTAGTCAGAGATGAAGAGTCTCACAGACCTTCCTGCCTGGGCTGGCTTTGAACTGTGCTCCTCAGATCTCAGCCTCCCGAGGAGCTGGGATTACGGGTGTGAGCTTCAGATACTTTCAGACCTCTGTGGGACTAAAGGCAGCAGCAGAATCTGCCTACCCCAGTAGCGTGCAGAACTTCCACAGGCTGAGCTCTGGCAGCTGATGAAATCGCAGATCTCCGGGTCCCACTCCGAGTTTCAAACAAGGTCTGAAGTGGGGTCTGGAAATCGGTGCTCCAACACGTGCACCCTGGGAGCTCGGAACTACCTAGGGGTCATCCTTGGGCCCTGGTTCTAGGATTCCTGGGCTAATGCTCTTCTGGTTCAGTTACAGCCAAGCCCTCAGATTACCCTGGATCATTTCCATTCACCTTCCCTGGATCATGACAAACCTGTCCCTCTTCTGAGACCCTTCCTCTCGGGCTGGGGGTGTGCTGCACCCGCCCCCTCTGGAGACCACGGGATCTGGGAGTGGACATTTACACCCTCAAGGCCTGAGCGCTTTCCCATAACCCTGCGGGAGAACGGCATCCATCCGGGCATCAGTACCCTGAAAAATCTAACCGAGGAGCGTTAGGAGAAGTGGGAAGTGGAGAGCAAAAGATCAAAACCTCCCCGGAAGATCTCAGCAGCGGAGACAAAGGAAATTCACCAGGATTCACTAGAACCAGAGGGCTGTGCGTGCTCAAAGCTTCTAGATGAATACTATTGCGTTCGCCTTTACCTTCCTGACCCCACAGCGTCGCTGATCTGTTGGAACAACCTTTCTTATTTTCTTACAGGAGTTTTAAGCCTCGATGGGATTTTTTTTGTGTGTGCCTAGAAAGAAATGCCCGCGCTTCTGGCCACTGGTGAACGCTACGTGGTCCCTGCGGACTTTCCCATCATCCCCCGGGGCTTGAAGCCCTGGCTTGAGGAATGACAAGGGTTACTGTGTCTGTCTGTCTGTCTGGGATCCAGTCGTGAAAGCATCCCCCACCACTCCAGGACTGCTGTGTGTGTGTGGGGGGGGGAAGGTAGGACGAGATCTACAGGGCGCCTGAGAAAGACCAGAGCCCAAATCATCTCTTGTAGGAACCTTCTAGAAACTTCATCCTAGTGAATCAAGGCTCTCAGCCCTTGCTCCCAGTGAACTCTCAGCGGCGGTGGAATCCCATATGCCCAGAGCGGAGGAGACGGAGGAGGGGACGGGGACACGCGTGGGCCCGGAGGTGGTCAGAGCCCACGGATCTCAGCCACGGGTGGGTGGGGAGGATGGACGGACGGACATGGAGGCCGAGAAACTGAGCTCTGAAGGACACGGTTGAGGGGGAAAATGAGAACAAAACAAAAAAAAGCACACACCGCCCTGGTTTGCTTGTTTGTGATTTTCATTTCCACGGTGGGACCCCCCCGCCCCCCGCGCATGCACGGCCCGGCCAGCAGGGGGCGCGGCGGGCCCAGCCTGCACCCCGTCCCGGCCAGTCCCTGTCTGGGCTGACCGTGGCTTCCTCCCTCTCTCTCTCTGTCCCTTCCTGCTCCTCCTCCTCTGCCGGGTCGTGGTCTGCAGGCCTGCCTAGCAGGTGGTGGCCAGCGACTGGTGGATGGGCGGCTGGAAGCAGCGCACGTGCTCTACCGTGGAGCTGTCCGTCTCCACCGACTTCATGTACTTGTTCAGGATGGCGAACACCTCGTTGTTCAGGATCTGATACTTGCGGATCCGGTCGGCCATCTTCTTCAGGGGCTGGGGGAGGACAGGGACGCTCAGTGAGGGTGAGTGGGGGGGGGGCAGAGTGCGAATCCTCCAGGCTTCAGAGAGCTTGGCAAGCTCTCCCGTGGCTTCCTGCGTCGCGTGCTAAAGGCCGCTAAGAGCCTCTGCGAGTTTCAGGGCTTCTTACCAAGCGACCATAATCAAAACGGTGCGGCCCTGTCGTACAGCTGGCCTAGCTACTTGAGTGTCTGAGATCTGGAGGATGGTGGTTCAAAGCCAGCCCAGGGAGGAAAGTCTGTGAGATTCTCATCTCCAATTTACCAGCAAAAAGCCGGAAGTGGCGGTGGTTTACACGGGACGGCCGAGCTGTCCATCCTACCTTCCCTTTACCACTTTTTTTTCCCAATGCCTGTAACTGGAGGCTGAATTCAGGGCCTGGGCGCCGCCTCTTCGCTTTTGTGCTTGAGGCTGGCGCTCTACCTCTTGAGCCACGGCACCACCTCCAGCCTTTTATCTGCTTAGGTGGTCCCGAGGCATCGAACCCGGGGCCTCAGGCATGCGAGGCGAGCGCTCTACAACTGCACCACCCTCCCGGCCCTGCGTACCACGTTCTTGATGATCTCGTCCTTGCCGTCCTGCCTTTGCACCTTGAGCAGGTGGTAGCAGAAGTCAAACAGGTCGAAGCGGCGCTGCTGGCCCAGGAGCACGACGATGGAGCAGCCGGCCCAGTTGAGGCCGTCCCCGAAGCACTGCCTGGAGGGAGGGGAGAGAAGATGGGGGGGGGTGGGGATGGGGACCCCTCTCCTGCCCTCCACAGCCCGCAGTCCCGTCTCCTTGGCTGAAGTGGGTGTAGGCGTGGGGGCAGCCACAAGCCCTGCTGAGGTGCCTGGGTGGAGGCTGGGGTGGGGAGGCCGGACTGCAGAGGCCCGGAGTCTGCTTGGCTCTCTCTCCCTGACTCCAGGTCTTAGGGCCCTGGGCCTTCTGGAGGGCTGTGGGCCCGGCCTGGGTCAGCCTGGGTCCGCATGGGGGCCTTCCAGTGGTGCAGGGGTGAGGCAGGAGGGGGAGCTGCAGGGGTGAGGTGGGCAGGGAGCTCCCGGCCCCTCTTGTAGCTCTGAATCCCAGGCCCGGGTCCCCCTCCTGGGTCCCTCGAGCTCCCTGGAGGCCGGACACCGCTGTCTTTTTTTTGGGGGGGCGGGGGGGCCGGCCGCCCCGCGGTACTCACTCGGCCGTGAACTCGTTGGTGCCCACGGGGATGCAGTAGACGAACTGCATGGCGCTCCACAGCCGGTGGAACTCCATGCACTCGTCCACGTGCATGACGCCGTTGGTGGGCGGCGGCCCGCGCCACACTGGGTCCTGCAGGTAGCTGCGGATGCGGGTCAGGATGACCTCGAACATGGACAGGCCGCAGCACAGGCGCTCCTTGGTCAGCAGGTCCCCCTCCCGGGCGATGGCGATTTGCTGGGGGAGACGGAGGGCCGCTCAGCCTCGTCACCCGCGGCTGCCATCCTCCCAGGGCCCCCCGGGGCACTGGGGGGGGCACGGAGGGGACACGCCGAGGGCAGCGAGTGGTGTGGCTGTTCATGTCTGCGCCGGTCCTGAGACTCGAAAACCTAAGTGCCTGGGCGCTGCCCCTTAGCTTCGCAAGCGGGTGCTCTACCACTTGAGCCACAGTCCACTCCTCGCTTTTGGTTTTGGGGGGTTAACTGGAGAGAACAAGTCTCACAGATGTTCCTACCCGGGCTGGCTTGGGCCTGTGATCCTCCGCTCTCAGCCTCCCGAGTAGCGGGGACGGCGGGCGTGAGCCGCCGTGCTGGGCTGGGCAGTGGTTTGACACAGTTCTGCTCAAAGCACGGAACGAAGGGGAGGTGGGCGCTGCCCAGTCTGAGACGCCACTGGCCCTGCTGCGTGGCCCTGCTGTGCGTGCAGCCCCCTTCTCCCTCCCCTTCTCCCCTCCTTATGTACCCCATTCTGCAGATGAGGAAATTATGCACCCCATTCTGCAGATGAGGAAATTATGCACCCCATTCTGCAGATGAGGAAA